GGCTAGAGGTGTTTTGGTATGGGTTTCTCCCTCTGTAAGTAATCTCTGGTGAGAAATTGGCTTGTCGTTTATTTGCTGGTAGGTCCACTGCGTCGTTGCAAGCCAAGAGTTACTAGCTAACGCGACCTTGCCTGTACACCAAGGGAGTTGGGCTATGTGCTCAATTGCTTCATGGCCATCCTGACCTTCAGCTGTCCCTGGGAGCCTAGATAATCAACGCAAGCTTGGAAACTAGAAATCCAACCCCTACCTCGAGTTCCCTTGGGACCCTATTGAATGATCAGCGCATGATTAACTTGCATGGATGCAACAGTATAAGGACCACAAATGCCCCTTGCATCGACATTAACTACGGCGTAGCCATGCGTAACCCACTCGGCAGGATCGAAAGCTTAGAAGCTTTGGAAGCCGGACACTGCGCTACGGGGTATTCCAGGTCGACCTGGGATAAGATCGAGGTGAAAGAATCCATTTCGTATGTAAGCTCAGGTTTGTAATATGGATGCGCCCAAAGGCTAGCGTATCGCAAAAAATGAAGAGGTCATAGGTGCAAAAGTATTGAGGAGATGTATGCGCGAAGAAGAGCTATGGTCTGCGAACCTGTGCCAGATTTCCCATAGTGCGAACAATGCACAACAGCGGGCACCATAGGCGTGTCGGCAGGACGGAAGACATCTGCGCGTATGATGACCCCGTCGCCTAAGGGAATGGGAATTTCCTGTTCAAACACGGTTTCTACCTCCCAAGTCCTGCAGTCGGGCTCTTTTTTGTAGCCAACAGGAAGCAAAATGGTACGTGGATTGAGGGCCTTATATCGAGCTCCAGCATCACTTGGTGGTGTTGCATCAGTATATAGCACAGGAATGCTTCCGATCCGGTATTCGCTTTCGTTCATTGTAACAGTTCAAATCAGAAACAAGGTTCATCATGTATGATGGAGCGGTCGATGTAGATTAGGTTTTATGCCATTTTACTTCGCCGAATCTAACCCTACCTCGGTACCTCACGATATCTTGGGTTCGTCCGTGACATCGATGATGTGGAGACAGCGACACTAGATCAGCTCTCGATTTCTTCCGTTCGAAGTCAGGTTCGGCCATGACCCCACGACCATGTCACTGGCGCATCAGCCCGCAAACAATGATACACGAGGAGTATGTGGGGCCAACATGGAGCGACTGATGGTCCACCCTTCCTCCAAAGACTCTATTGACCGACAGAGGGATTGATGGAATGTCGTACTGTTGATGCGAGGAGTTGCCTGCTAGTTGCTTGCGGGGCAGCATGGTCGCTGTTGGCCGGAGAAGCGGATTGTGGGACAGTGTCAGCGATGTTGTTTACCGGAGAAGCGAATTGCGGGGCCCTTGTTGTGACCCACGCTCTTGCGTGCAATTGGTCTACAACTGGCATCGTGCAGTGCCACTTCTGTCAAAGGAGAATAAATATCTTTCTAACCAACTCACAACTAGCCATAAGTTATACCATTCCTCGATCTCTCATGCTCTTGTGTTTTCTCAGCTTCTGTGGTTGTCTGACGATCATACAGGGATTAAAATGACAAATCCCCAGCGGTACCCAGTCGCCGTCATAGGCGGAGGCCCCGTGGGTCTTTCATCCTCCATCTTATTATACCTTCGTAATATTCCCCACGTGCTGTTCGAGCGCCATCATGGCACTTCAATCCATCCAAAAGCATGCGGCCTAAACCAACGAACCGGTGAAATTTTCCGCCAGATGGGAGTGGAGCAAGCGATTATTGCACAAGGGGCGCCTCCTGACACATGCTCCAAGACCGCATGTTTTACGTCTCTTGGACCGACTGGCACCAAAATTGTCTCTCGCGACGCATAGGGTGGTGGGAAGTATGCCGACGAGTATATGGCAGCAAGTCCTAGTCGATATGTCATGTTGCCACAGATACGCCTCGAACCTATCCTTTCGCGAAGGGCCAAGCAGCTGAACCCAAGTGGTGTGCACTATGGCGCCGAAGTTACTGACACCGTCGGAAAAGAAGACTACGTGGAGCTACAGATTAAATATAGGGGAAGTTCTAGACCGAGCGAGATCATACAGCCTTCCTATGTCATCGCAGATGATGGCGGATGACTGGTAACAAACAAGCTTGGAATCGAATTGCATGGGGAGAAAGACTCAGTCGATATGGTGACTGCACACATTCGAGCGTCGATAGCCTCTCAATACCCTGAACCAGAAACCTTTATAACTTGGTTCATCAACCCAGATATGGGTGGAAGTATGTGGAACCGGGTATATGTATCACCTTGGCCCATACCCCAACAGACCAGAAACAGAAGAGTGGATGTTTGCCTGTAGCATCCGCCCTGACGACCCACAGAAATTCGACAATAATACAATGGTCACACGAGTGAAGAAGAGCATCAACATCCCGGACTTGCCAGTGGAAATCTTGAGTGTGAGCCATTGGTTCGTGAATGCGATTTCAGCTGAACGCCGCTATCGCAGCATAAATGGCCGCACTTTCCTTGTCGGTGATGCCGCGCACCGCATACCGCCCTTGAGTGCTCTTGGAGTCAACACCAGTATTCAAGATGCCAACAATATGATTTGGAAGCTAGCTCTAGTGCTACAGAACAAACTTGGGAAAAGCGACCTTTTAGACACGTATGATGAAGAACGTCGCCCAGTTGGAGAAAGAGTAGCGCAGTCAAGCCTTGTGAATTTGCAGAGTCACAACCTGATTATTGATAAGGCGTTGCGCATCGGCAAAGATACTTCCGCCAAAGATAATCGGACGGCGATGCAAGCACTGTTTGACAAAAATCATGCTGGTCATGCTCAGATGTATGCGGGTGTGCAGCGTGCACAAACCATCCTCGATACCGAATTCAAGGCGCCTGGAGCAGAGATAGGATGGTTTTACCCGACTGCGGATATCAATAATGAGGGCCAGGATAACTACCACGATGGCCAGCTGAATGAAGATGGGAAGCTGAACACAGCCAAATACTTCCCTTCTACAATACCCGGGCACCACTTTCCCCACATGTGGTTGAGGAAAGCAGGTCACGTTGTGTCGTCCCGTGATCTTCTGTGTTTGGACAAGTTTGTGCTCTTTACGGCAGATCTTGCTTGTTGGAGCCGAGTTGAACATGAACTAATTAAGGTAATCCCCATTGGTAGTAAAGACCTGGAAGGCATTGATGGGAAATGGAGTCAATTTTCGGGGGTAGATCGTAGTGGAGCGGTTTTAGTAAGGCGGGACGGTATTGTCGCCTGGAGAAGCAAATTAGCTGGAGAGGACAACGTAAATAAACTATATGCAGCTCTTACAAAGATACTGAGGATATAGCGTACGTAGTATATCATATGTTATTGGGATTTCTTGGCCCTCACTCCTTACATAGCTACCTGTTCATTGAATCTAGGATGCGACGATGTAGTATTATTTGTAGATACTATGAATAGCGTAGAATTAGGTCATGATGTCGATCAGAATGGAAGAAGTAATTGTAATAGATTCGTTAACACGGCAAGGTATTCTACCGGACCTTACATCCCATCATTAATCATAGCCTGGACCATCCTGACATGTCTGTCTGCGTTCGTCTCACTCCACTCGTTATCATAGTTCAGCCCATACGGCCAAAAATGACTACCGCCACAGCTGATCTTTGCGCTGGCCCCGTCAAAGCTCCGGAGCAATGGTAGTGCTGTTCTCCAATCTCCCGATGCACATTTGCTATTGAATGCTGCTGTTTGACCCACGCCCAATGTGTGTGAGATTTCATGCATGGCTGTGCGTTCTGTCATGTATGCACGGTTCGAGCCGAAGCGCAGATCGCCGTTGTAGTTTGCTTCGGCTGTTGGAACGCCTGGTGCGTAGGCGACGCGAATGGTTTTGTTGGCAGTTGCGAATTTGTGGTAGCGGGCAACGGCTTTGGTCATTGCCGCTTCGATTCTGGCGTAGGCGTCTGCTTGATCTGCGGTGGGGTTGGATACTTTTGCCAGCGACCAATTAAGGCGCGCAGAGGCGTTGCAGGCGTACGCTGCAACGAGGAGTAGAGACAACTTCATGATGTGGAGATGCGACTGATTGATCCCAGAGATACAGAAGGCTGAAGTAATGCGACATGGCATTGCTGTGGACTTGTCGCAAATATATGGTATACTTTGCCCATCATCCCCCTAGCCCCTAGCCACTCTGACCTGCATTGTCATTTCGACCTTCCTTATGCTCATGGGTGTGGCTAAAACGGCCGTGCAGCCTCATTAGGGAGGTGGGAGATAGGAGGTGGGTCTGTGATATCTTCCGATATGCTTGGCGAATGTTTTGTTTGTCTATCCACCTAACAGAGTCACGCATTGAGATATGCATATTGCTTTCCCATAGCGATTGGCATTGTTCAATCAATATTGGCTTGGTGTTGCGGTGTGCAGGGCCTGAAACGGTCAAGCGTCGGAGTATTGATTGCATTCAGGGATTCCCTCCCCGCTTTGAGGATTACTATCTTGGCATTTCTTTTACACCTTTGTGCTAAGTTTATGCTTCTGGAACATTTGTAAGCAGCGACAGTCATCGAGATGTTCTTAACATGTCTTTTCAACGTACTACTTTTGATGCGGCCCTCAGCCCCCCAACACTTCAGGAATGCATTCGCCTTTAATTTTGTTCTGGATGCGTACTACTAGTGCGCTCGGATATATACGTACTTGGCAAGATCCTGGTAGTGAGCTTTGTTGCCAGCCTTGAGGCGAGCCTGCTAAATGTCTTCAATGCAAAGTATACGTCCGAGCCGAGCTAACTAACTTAACTAGCATACATCAATCGTGCGTTTATCAAGCGCGACTCTTACATCATCCTTAATAGCCTTTCTGACCTCTTGTGGTCGTGGTCGATACTCGTATATACATTAACTACTGCTGAAATACGGCATAAGCTAAGCTGGTGTTTGGTAGAAAAGAAGGCGTGCTGTGCAGGCATGCCTCGTGTGTAGATCTAGGTACAGTACACAAATGCATGTAGCCAACATAGTGCCCCTGATTGATTTGCTTATTCTACAAATTTGAGATGCGAAGGATAGGGTCCAAAAACTAAGTTCTGCGCTACAGCCAACTCCACATGCAGATTTCCAGGCAGAGAATCGGTAAAGTAAATGCGAAATGTTGTAGGGGTCACGACTTAATGCAAGTAACGTCCTGAAATTGATTTCCACTAACCCAAATGGAAGCAGACTAAATCTCGGGTCCTTGCAGATCATGAAGACCATCGGAGCCCGAGAAAGCAGTATTCTCTAACATCTCCGATCTCCCGCATGCACATGGCAAACTCTAAGACCTTGTCTTTTTGCTTTGGAAAGCCTTGTATTCACATTTGTGCAATTGGCTGTGTTGGATTTGAAGACTAATGGATGCAAAGCGTTCACGCGGAAATTATTCGACACCTTCGTTCATTGATGTATAGCTCTCAACTCTATTTGCAATTCTCATCACCTGTCTAGGCAAAACGATCTCACAAATATCAGTGTTCCATTATTTAACAGTGCGGATCTAAGTATTAACTTCAGTAGTATTCGAGCATTGACTTTGTTTGATATGACTCAGGGTGAAGTCGATTGCATCATCCGCGATAATGGCAACTGTAATAGAGGTTGCCAATTCAGCATCTGAAGATACAGCCCCGTATTCCGAGATTGCGATACTCCCTCCTACCTCAGACATACTCCAAAATACGAGGCTAACGTGTATAGTTTTCAAAACATAATATTCGCTTCAGCATAGATCTCGTATTAGAATGTTGGCTGCTGAACCCGAAGATCACAACATCACCAAGGCCAGAATTGTTGCTACAGCAAATGACAATATCGTTAGGTAATGACCGTTAATAGAGGATATTTAAAGACAGTAGCTCTATATCATGATGATTCTACCAAAACTTCGACGCAGTTGCAACCTCAAGCTGTTCAGTCTTTCATGTCGGCTTGAGCTCAAGTTATATCCGAGAGCTCTCGAGGGTCTGGAGTGTCTTTGATCTAAATATGGATAAGAACGGGCTCTAAGTCGATGTGGCGATACGCTTACGAGGGTTAAGTCTCATCCAGATCGAGATCCGAAAGCCCTGGCGCTGTAGCCCAAAGTGATGCACTTGCCCACTTGGAAGGCGTTTTCACGTCCACCTGCCCACCAGATCTTGCGAGCAGAGCCGACACAGTTTCCGACGTCGTAGAAGTCTGCCTTCTGGAGGTTGCCGCCAAGGTTCAGGATACGGAAGGATTGAGTGGCGGGAATGTTTTGGTCGCGGCAGGTGTTGTCCCACACATTGACGTCCTTCGCATCGCCTGTGCAGTCCCTGCCAGAGAAGGCAGTGAACTTGTAACCAAGAGCTCCGGAAGAGAGACCAAGGAAGGCGACTAGGGTAGAGGTGAAGTACATGATTGCTGTTGGTATTTCAAAGATAGCTTGATGCTAGGAATGGGATTTTAAGGATTTGAAGTGAGATGTAGTGATGATGAGGTGAGTATGAGTTGGGTGCTGTCTTTCAGGAAGAGACGTAGCTGATATATATACTTAAGGATGTAAAAGCGACAGAGGACCCTATTTACAGAGTTACGTAACTCCGTATGGCACTCCCGATGCCTCATTGACCATTTGGCCATATGAGTGCCATCTTCCGAACTCGGGTTTTCTGAGCAAACATGAATCTGTTGATTTTTAACCCAAAAGGTATGAATATGTTGATTGTTATCCTAAAAGGGTGTACACACAAACTCGACTAGGCTCTAGTGGCGACTAGTGATGACTGTGTAGAAGATACCACCTGAGTCATATGTCAAGATATGCTAAATACGCGAGCTGACTTAGTCCGCCTCTAGACTGTTAGTTTGGTGTGAGTCGAGTCCACCCGTTGGTGATTAATGCGTACTTACTTATTCTGGCCAATCCTACCATTGAATGAATGGCTCGAAAGGACAGATTAGGTGGCTGCTAATATGTCTCTGGTCATTAGGCGAAAATGAGAGTCCATGTGCAAACGTAGTATTTACTTTCGTGTTTCCCATATCTCTCTGATTGAGAAATGCCTTTGTTTACGATGTATGTTATCTTCTAGTTAATTGACTGATAAGGTTATTAAGTCAAACATGACAAGTCGGCCTGTAAGCCACCTGCTCTGTTGTACCTCATTCGGTGCTACGGCTATAACGTCGTTTCAGACTCGATGGATGCAGCCATAGACTGGGTGCGCAAAGCCTCATGTTGGTGTAGGCCACTTGTTGGTTGGGGGGACATCATCAATCCTTTCGCTTAGCTCGAAATTCCTGGGTGCATGTATGCGCCAATTAGCATACAGATCTGGGGAGAGATCTAGCCTGGCTACCAGCTATTCCACAATGAATGAGGCCGAATCAGCGCTATCTAGAAGTCGATGCGGCTTAGATCTTGAGGCTGCAGTTAGATGTGGAGCAACCTTGACTATGATCGGGTAAGAGCGCCGAGCTTGCTGGGCAGACTCTCGCCTAGCGGGTGCGTGCATCACCACGGGCATGACTTTACGGCGCCTATTGATTGCTCCCGTAGGAATACTCCAGGTACCTCTCACGTCCACATCCGGCAATTTAAGGCAACCCGCAATGGGCGTATGGCACAGCAAGCCTTGGCTGAAGGCCTGACCAGTACGAGGCGTGAATCGAACTCCGATTTGTGTCGTAATAAGATTAGTGTTATAAATGAGGTTTTATGGGTCTGCCAAGGCAGAAATGATTGTACAGCCTTGAAAGATGATATGGGGCAGTGCGATCTCATTCACCCATAGAGAGACTCAGGCCTCGTCCACAACCTCAACCAAGTGGCTTTAAACCTTTACAAGCAACACAAAAACAAGTTGTTCGTGCGCAAGCGGGAGATGAGGCACCTTGCCAATGTTGATGCTAATACATCGACCATTGTGGCCAATTTTCTCCACCTCTTGAATCCACGCTGCTGTTACCATAGCGAAAGCGCTGAGGACGCGACTCTTTACGACAGCACGATAAGAGTCGGAGATTATGATTAAACGGTGCGAAATGGGTGTTCAGAATAAAGTCAACCAGTCTTTTGGGCTGCGAAACTGTTACGCTTAAAAGCCTCCGAGTTAGCTTTGTCAAATGCTAGCCTCTGAAGTCACTGAACAGAGACTGCTGCGAGTGATATGAAGTATATAAGGATTTCAATTTTTTCCTATGACCCAGGACTGGCACGTGTTTCTCACCCCTTGTGACATGTAGTACGGTTCGCATCATAGCATCGGCTACTATCACCTTCGCGGAATAACTCTTCAAGCACTTGAGCCGGTTGGGAGCGAACTCAATCCAAGACGTCTCTGATGACTATAAACTCCGGTGCTTGGACCCTGTGAAGCCTGGAGGACTTCGTTGCATCAAAAACACCAATGAGATCAACCGTGGATATGTTATTGATGGCTATGTGCATGCTAAAGGAATGGGGGTACTTATCATGATATTTAAAATGAGGCGAGCTGTCAGCTATAACGTACGAAGTGATTAACCAACAGGAATCGAGGCGAAAGTTAAGAACATCTCAATTCTATTTCTTACTTTGGCCAACCTTGGCCGCATACTCCAGACCTTCAACGACCTCCTGGGGCTGGCTTAGAAAAGGCGAATGTGCCTCAACTGATTTGAAAGTCGGCGCATCTTTACCTAGCATCTGTGCCATCTGCTGTTGTATAGGTAGCAGAAGCGCTTTGTCGGCCTTACAGAAGAAGTACATCGAAAGGATCTCGTGCCACGGCTCATAAGTGACCTCGTCAGTGAAAATGCGTGCTGATTGGTGCTTGAGCTTTGCAACGGCAGCCTTCTGTGCTTCATCATCTAGATCGTGATAGCAGATTACTTCTGCCCCAGTGGCATAACAGTAGTCACCCTAAACCTGCTTTTTAGCTCTGCTTTTCTGGAGATAAGGAGCCTGATCTGGCGTATGTACGAACATCAAATTTCATCCAGGGTAAGAATTGGCCACCAAGCATGGCTTTTATCGTGGCTCCCTTTGGGGCAACGAAATCAGCAAGGTAAACCAATATAATGACACCGCCTTTTTTACCCATTGCCTGCCGCTGCTTGTAGCCCAAACCCTCGACGGCGTTTTGTCCGACCAAACCCCCATATGAGTGCACGAGCAGGACAATATCTTTGCCATCATCAGCAAGCCTTTGCAAGGTGGAGCGCAGCGCCGCGGCATCGTCTGCAAGGCCTTTGTTGGGAGGCTCCGCTCCTACGGATGGGTGCGCCACAGCCTCAGTTTCCCATCCGCACTGGTGCAGTTTCTCGCGGGTGATGTCGAAACAGTCTGGTGTGGACCAAGCGCCTGGAATGAACACGATAGTAGGCTTGGACATGCTGATGATGATATTAGTTGGAACTGAGGGACCACACGACGAAAGATGGCAGGAAGTAGTGAGACTGAAGTCGCACACAGATCAGAGTGCAGTAGTTTATTAAATTCTGCGGGATACCCACTCACCCTCAGTTGTTGGACTCAATGTGGAGGACTCAAAGTGGAGTCCTCGATAACGTTTCCGAAGGCGGTATTTTCAAAGTGGAGAACTGACTATAAATGCATGATGTCTATGGATTTATCGTACGCCAAAAATGATCATGGAGTAGCAGAAGTGTTATGTTAAAATCAAAACGCGTCCCTAGCATTCGCGATATTGTTCGTTAGATGTATGATCAAAGGAGCAATATTTCGGTAGATGGCGGGGTACAGTCAGCTTAATCTTCCTGACTCTGATGTGTTATAAGTCTAGGAATCACTAATGAGCTAGGCAACATAAGCTTAGTAGCATGGTGTAGAAGGGTTGGAAAGAGACTACCACAGAGATACCCTGAGATCGCATTTCGAATTTTGAATTAAACATCAAAGTCGCTCTCCTCTGTCAAATCGAATTTAGTGGTTTTGAATATTTCTACGCAAAAGAAGATCATTCGATACCTAGAAACACAGCACGGGAAATCGCGAGATTATCATTGTAGGATGCAAATGCCTATGGTAGGAGCGACATTTAGCCAGAACTGTTCCAGTAACAGCAACGATTGCCGAGAGGCTCGTCTGACATCGGATGGCAGAAAAGTCTTCCTTGCAAAATGCCCCACTATGATCCAACACCCCTCTCGGTAGCATGCCTTGCTGTACGACAAAAAACGCAGCGCCCAAAATCACCATTGAGAGCGCAAAAACAATCGATTCCCCAGCGCAGCGCTGTGCCTCGATGTATCCACACTGTAAGGGGGTTAGGCTCTTTTTCTATATACAAGTAGTCCCCTTTAGCAGGCAAAATTGTTTGGTGCCCAACTTGTTGTTCATCAGTCTCACCTTCCAATATGTAATGAAGCCAATCAACGCGTTTTCTACTTACGATACACCATGCTGTAGTGTTTGAAGACATAGGGTAGGTAAACCTCTTACTACTGCTGATGTACATGCGCATCTTCCCGAGGAAGCGCTTTTGAATCGGCGCATACATCTTAGTATTCGTGATGATTAGCTGGGCTTCGCAATCAATAGTACTTGCAACAACCTCACGGCCTCGGTTATCAGCAATGCCGTACTCAACATCTAAACAAACATCGCTATTCTGTGTATGCCTGTTGGTCAGGTATCGGATGCTCAACGCGCGTCTCACACCTTTGTGTTTCTGCTTGAAGTGTTGTCAGTGCCCTTCCGCCTTCAACGTGACTGTTGTCATTGCTGACTACAATTCGCAGTGTACTTTTCGCCATCACCTACCGCTTTGCAACAATCATGCAACTCGACATAGCTGACATAACAGGAACACTGGCGACGGCGTGCACCTGGTGCGTTGTAGAGGTCGCATCTGGCATTATAAGTGCATATTTGCCCACGCTGCCCCCGCTTATGCTCATCATCTTGTCCTAATTCAGTAACATTTGAAATCGGTCCAACGAGGGATTGGCCACGGAAAGACAGTCGAACAAGACGGAGCTCGTGACTATTGGTGGCACAGGGAGCAAACGCAACCAAGACTTTCAGCGTCTCAAAGATGATTACGAGTTTTACTGCGATTTTTTTTTTACAATATATACGCAGAAAAGTGGCTATGACGCGGTGTTAAGTAGTGATGAGAGACCTCTAGCTGGTGCGATATATTCACAGGAACCGAAGTCTTTCTAAAGCAACTACTCTTTCGTTCGATACCACGCCTTCAAGTTGATGTGTACAAGATTAGATGCTACAATATGGTGCTATTGGATGTAGAAAATGTGTAAGTCGCAATGTAGTGATATGAAGCATTGGGTCTTGCGTTGTTGTTGAGCTCGCCAAAGTGCTTGGTAATTCGCATGGCAAAACGCTGGCCAGCATGCGGAATGCTACTTTTATGCTGTGGTTATATCCTTCTTCCCAGGCGGTTATTATTGCAGTTTTCGCTGCATATTACAATCGGTCCTGAAAGGGTTTGCGTTCACGAAGAGATGCAATCTGATTGGCTCTCAGAAGCTCTGCGCTGATTGGCCGTACCAAGATGTTAGAAATCTCCGTATTCGGACAGCGTCTGGTCACGCCAAAGTTTCCGCCAGCCCAGCCAGTAAAAAAGCCAGCCCAACAATAAGCTCAAAACGTGCTCAAAAAGCCAGACAAAAGGGAGCCACACAATGAGATAAAATATCAGCCAAGAACCGAGCGAAAGAATTACCTCTTGACAGGAGCAATGGGGGCAATGAGCGCGCACCGCAGGCGCACCTTACATAATATATACAATGGATAACTCTGACGGCCCGGCTAGGGGTGCTGAAGTAGGGATGCAGCTTGAGTAATGTATAGATAGAGCAAATGGAGCTCAAGCCGCACCTTCCTTTAGTACCGCCAACCAAGCTGTCAGAATTGAATATTTTGAATATATGTCGTTACTTGACGAAAAAATCCTTTTAATTGCGTCATTACATTCTTAACAGATACCATCCTTGTATATAGTTGTCAATGTCGATCGTGAATTCGAGAGACATACCTCGTCACGAGGCGGGTTCGTGAAATTGGCTTCTTGCTTGTGGGTCTTTTGAGAATTAGTTCACACATTCCTGTTCTTTATCCTTTTATCCTTCTGGGACAAAGTTTTCGATTGATATGATATGCGTAAGAACATGGCTGGAGTTTGCGATGGCGCACGCGGAGAGTTATATCAGAGTTTTTCTTGGTATCTGCGGGCATCAGATCAATAACAGATCTTCTTTGGATTGCCATCCTCGAAAGGCGTCTTAGTGCATGCGTTGAAGAGATATGACATGGAGTGTGGTTATACAACATATTGGGTCTATGTATAGTCACCATGTTGTGACAAGCTACTGTCAGTATACCCAAGCCGTGCAGTAGAAGCTTCTGCTATGAAAAAATCAACGGGTGCAGCATTCCGTCACGTGTATAAAAAGTCGGCGTGTCAATTCCCGATTAATAGAGCCGGTGTTTTGAAATCAAGAATGCACTAGGCTGGTATACATCCGATTGACCCGACGAGGCTTTTTAAGGTTTGGGAATGGGCCCAGGGGCGTGTGTCATGTTGATCACGGTACTAGTGGCGCAATGGGCGGATCCAGTAACGGAAGCCTGCGTCCGAAGGGTCGCGGTTTACTTGCCTCAGTAAGCGTCGCAGCAAATTATTTTTGGTCAGAAGGTATTGCGCACATATTCGGGTGTAGAGGTGCAAAGCCATTGCCCGGATGATGAGGCTGGTCGATGCTCTCACGTCTTGCCCCTTTCACACTACGACTACGCAGATCGGATTATACCGGTAACAGGATCTACAACATCCCTGTACCCCACATGTCTTCATCGGCGAACAATCTTATCGACAATCCTGCTCACTGTCTGCCCAATCGGAATTTTCGATCATGAAGCTATCGATGGTAGCTCGACCAGGGCTGGCTGTCTGTCGGAGGTTCGACGCGTGCATTGAACCCTTCAAGTCAGGATGATGCTCGGACAATCCCCTGCCTGTGCGATAAGCCGGTCAAATTCTGGCATGACTTGTGTCAGTGTCACAGGTACCACTGGTACTTAGCAAGGACGACTAGAATGCAGTCATTCTTAGTCGGAGCAATAGCGCTGGAAACCTCATGTCAATGAACCACTGTCCGCGGACTCGACAAACGACCTTTACCTCCGACCTCGGGTTCCCAAACCACCTTCTTTATATTTTGTAATGTTTTGGCACCGTGCAATCGCGATTGCGCTGTGTGCCAGTGCTTTCACCTTGTCAGCTGCAGCACCAGACAGTACTGCGGACGCATTAGCCAGAATCCCACCATGCGGAGTAAGGTCTCCTTCGAAGATACATGTATATGGATTTAGCTGAGCAGGGCAGCTTGAATGTATCGCGGAGAAGTTGCCTCTCATCGGTTGTGGTCTTCTCGACTTTGAGTGCCAATGCAACTCCAAAAACTCGACCGCAATCCTGCAACCGTGCTTGCTGGACAAGTGTACGTTTGATGAAACGTTTGGTATGTCTATGGCAGCATCAATTTTGACAATCACTAACCTTTGTACAGAAATCCTTCGAGCACAAGCCGATCTCTGCAATCGACCACACGATTCGTATACACGGCTCATGATGGCCACAGCATATGTAACAGGCATAATACCTGTCGTTGCTATTGCTATGCGCTTCGCATCGCGTTGGGTCGGTGGCAATCACTTCTGGTGGGACGATTGGATCCATCTGGTATCAGCTGTAAGTCCACAAGCACTAGCCGCTTTTTTTTCATACTAACGATGGTTCGAGATGTTGTGTGTTCCGCTCATGGTCTGCTTCATACTCAACGTTGATGCGGGAGTCGGCAAGCATCTTTGGGACTTGACGTATCAACGTGTATACGACATCGGGCTGTGGAGTATGCATTCAAACACATACAACCTGTACGTCGTGCTGACAACCGTGCAGCCTACATCATCACCATTCTTTGGGCAGTCGAGATGTTGCTACTCAAGTACAGCATATTATGCTTGTATCTCCGCATCTTTCCGAACATATGGTTGAAGCGGGCTGTCTTTGCCTTCATGGCCTTCACAGCTTGCTTTACACTTCCCCTCATCTTCACAGCAGCTATCCGGTGCAATCCGGTCCGGGCTCAGTGGGATCTCGAGGCCGCAAAGACAGCAAAGTGCCTCGACTGGCTCATCATCCTGAAGTTGTCAGTTGTCTACGAGATCATTGCAGAGGTCGTCCTGTTCGCCCTTCCCGTTCCGATCGTGCTCAAGCTGCAAATGGCGACCGCAAAGAAGATTGAGCTCCTCATGTTCTTTGGTGTTGGTTTGCTGTAGGGCGTCCAGACTTCACTTTGTGCTTACAAGACATTTACTGACTTGCCTAGTCTTATCGGCGTCGCAATTGCACGCGTGCCCTTCTTGAAGGGTGTTGTAGATCAGAGCGACCAGACCTACACCATCGTCGCCTCATCTATGAGTACCTTTATTGCTAGCGGCCTCGGTCACGTCTGCGCTGCAGTCCCCACAATACAGGCGTTGATACGATTCGTCATCAATGGCTTCAAGAACAAGACCCAAGCAGCCTCAAGCTATGGCCAGAGTGGTCGGTCATACGAATCAAGCAAAAAGAAGAGCTACAGGTCGTTGGAAGACAAGAAGAGCGCCTGCTCAAGCTACTCAGGCGCCACATTCAAGGTATCAAAGCAACGAAGCAAGGACGGCAGCAAGGACCCGTACAGACTCTCGACACAAAACTTCACGAGGTTCGAGTGTGATGGTGATGAAGTGGGTGAAGAACGTTCCATGGAGCTGCAACCAGCGGAGACCTTCGTCACCAAGCACACTTCCGGTCAGGCGGGAGAATCGCAGAGTCATGACAGCGGAGAACAACCCGCCACCGTTGTCGTGTCCAGTTCTGTTCTTGAGGATTCAGCGTCCGACAAAGCTATATTAGACAGGGAGTACGTAAAGAGTACTTGAAATGGAAATTAATGATATTATAGTCCATTAGATCATCCAACGATACACATTCCCCTTGACTATGCAGGCAGTGCATGCAAGTCGCCGACTCAAGATGCAGCACAACAGGTACATCAGGCATGAACCTTCCGTGTCCTGCACTACAAGAACGCATTGCGACCCAGTCCTTGCACCTGATGAGCCGATCATCTGCAATACCAGACTACACTCGACCCGACCCTGTCTCGCACATCCAAACAATTCGCTTTCGTTATCACACTGCACCGCAGAACAGATGCAGTGCATCCAAACCCCATATTTTATACTCCTCGACAGCACACGTGGTAGTCCAACGGTCCGATTGCTGGGCGAGTACTAGTACTAGTAGTTCGTATATGATCGCCCAAGCACGCGCAGCATCGCCACTGAACCAGCAGCGTCTGGCATTGTCCCTCCGTCGCATCGAAACCGCTACTTATGGCCGAAAAGCCACATAATCGTATCTGAAGAAGAGGTATCCGAGTATTTCACATGGTAGGCAAGGATCCTCCGAATCGGCAGCCGAGTGCAAGCAGTCGCATGCCAACCTCGCAACCTCGGCCAAACTTTGAACGTCACCACCGCCTGTCACCGTGGCAGCGCGCGAAAATCCGGGGGGGTTGGGGGGCCGCAAAAGACTACTGCATGCCACGAACGCTTGGTTCACCTGCGACGCATGGGATGTGCATTTTTCGTGTCGATCTTTGGCGGTGCGCCATGGGCGACGATGGCCACGCGAGCGCCGTTCTAGCTTGTTTTGTTAGTGTGGAGGGTATATCAGCCCTAAAGGGTCCAAGGGGTCAGCCGAGGCTTTGGAGTTTCTTTTGGCTTGTTGGAGGGTCGATGTAACGGGGGAGGACTACTACGTGTATACACACTGCCCACCATGTTGGAATCGGTGAATTTTTCTTGGTGGCTGGTTGTAGGCATCATCGGACTCTAATGCCCAGTACAAGGTTCTAACCTCGAGACGAGGACGTTACTGTTTAGTGAAGGTTTCCGTTCTCAGCTTTCAGTGAAATATTTCCAACGTCCAGTCGTACATGTATACTTGGTGTCCTTGATTCATATGAATATCCAGATCTCAACGCAATCATAGTATTTACATTGTAAGAAATTAAGTAATAAACATAGGAAACATCAGGACAGGATTTACATCCCTAAATCATGACGGTGATAATAATGACAGAAATAAACACCGCAACTGCAACTCCACCATGATTACAGCGGGTTGTTCCACTGGGGTAGACCGTTCCACTTCGTCTCAAAGTCTTCAATCGACTTTATAAAATCGCGATGTTCCTTACTCACTATCTGCTGGGCGGGCGAAGTGTTCGGACCGTCTTGCCACTTGGCCTTTTCTGCTTGTGTGACCCATGCAGCTTTCATCTTGGGAAGGAAATTGTTGACGAGACCTTCGGTCTTGGACTGCATCCTGGTGTATTGGCCCTTCATGTAGCTGAGCCATTCAGACTTGAGATTCTGCTTGGACCATTTTGCGTATCCGGCGCGCTGGTTGGCGGGTAGCAGGGTTGTGTCGAGGGCGTCAAGGATCTTTCCTATTCGGTCCGTTTGGGTCTTCATGGTTGTTTGGATGGTCGAGTGGCTTTGGTAAATGCGAGAACCCATTGTGCTGCGCATCTTTTGGAGAATTACCCTGGCCTCTGCATATTTGGCAATGTCATTGGTCCAAGAGGCAAAGTTCCACGGGTTTCCGCCCGCCCACGCGCTCGTCTTAGAAGGCGTGTTGATGGCAGACTCGAGGGCGATGAACTCATCCTTCTTGTATGTCCTTGTCGGATACTGCGCCGCAATGTGCATAATGGGGTTCCAAGCCTTGCCTACGCCGCCAGTGGTGTCCTCGTTGGGCCACACAAAAGGAGGTACATCCCACAGCTCATTGACATAGTCACAGAAGGAAACAGTGGCTCCATTGGCCGCACCTGGCTTTGGGTCAGGCAGCTTAGACTTCCTCTTGTCAAGGTGCTGGAAGAACAGGTCGATCATCTGGGCCTCGAGAATGTGCTCCGTGTGATACTGGACGTTGGCAGCGCGTGCCTGCAAGGGGCTACCAAAGTTAAAGTTGCCGCAGTCTTCGGGATCGACCCAGCCCCAATCAAAGCCATTTAGCTGACCGCCCGGAGGGAAGTCGCCTGAGATGTCGCATGCCCGATCACAGGCCTGGACAAGCTTTTCCTTGGCTCTCTTGTCAAACATGTGCAGTGCCTCGCTTCCTGCGTGGTAATCATGGTCGTGGCTTCGCTGCTGATAAGCATGGAGATGTGCGGCAATGGCGTTTTCATCAATGGTGGACGTTGGCGTCAGCACTTCCCTCTTGCGCTTGGCATCTGTCCAGACGCCACCCTCATTGCTCGCTGCTAGGCCAGCGTATGCTTCCTGACACGTGATGCCTTTTTCACCGTCTTTGGAAGGGCAGAAATACTCGCCGGCATTGAGAGTAAGCGCTGGACCATAGACACCACCTCTCTTGACCAGGGACGACATGTGTTCTCCAGAAATGTGCCTCGCGAGCAGACTGGTGCCATAGCTGTGCATAGACTCCACATCGGGCTCGGCAACTCCTAACCTCGATATGTTCCTGGTCACATCGTCGTATTCGGAGCGGCCTTCAATGAGGAGGTGGCCCCGATCTTGAAGACTTCTCTTGGAAGGTATTGGGCCCAGGTCGGGACAAGTCCCGCCCTTGATGATAGTCTTTTCCCACGGGGTTGTCAGGTTGACCTCACCACCAGCCCAGCCAAATGTCCTGGGTGCCGTTGCTCTCGCAAACAAACGAGCGCCGATATCAAGACCGTAGGTGAAGGGGCACGTTGCTGTGGTTGAGACACCTGTTGCAAACTTGGTTGTTAGGCTGACCTCGCCAACGACTGCAGCGGCCGCCGGGTCAATCTTCCACTTGGGGTCAAAGCGAACGCCAAACTCGGCAGCGGCTGATAGCTTCAAGTTAACATCCCCAGAGGCGGTGACTCCTGCGTAGAATTCGGGCTTTTTGATTCCCGAAAAGTCACCCGTCCGATCCAAGCTTGGCTTGCTGTTGTCGATGAGTTGGGGCTTGTAGGAATTGCTGTCAGGCATGACTTGGCGAACCTAAATACAAGTATGAGTGGTCAGCAATTGTTTTCCTTATATTGGGGACTTGAATAAACAACAGGCAAAGAAGAAGTTTGCTACTCACTTCCCACTTGGCAATCTCCAGCTTGGTCTCAATCAAGCCAGCCATGCCGAGCGAGGCATCAACGCTGCCCTCGACAGTGAGCTGGGGACCTATGGTAGCGATTCCAGGAATCTTAAAAGAGGCACCGGGGAATGGCAGATTGAGAATGACCTTCTTCTGCTCGTACGTCACGCGGGCGAGTGCCTCAAGAGTGACGACACCGGTAACCCTGCCCTTGTTGTAGAAGGTCAGGTAGCTCTGCTCGAGGTTAAGGGGCAGGGTAAGACTCTCAACGATAAGGGTGAAGCCGAAGCTGGACTCGACTTCGATGTCGAGTACAGCCTGGCCGAGCAGATGGCCGTCGTAGTTGACGCCATCTACCGTTCCGGGGCAGTTCCACGATTCGTCAAATAGCTTTGCCGTGACACTGTCGTCATACTTGTGCGTGAAGTCGCGCTTGATCTCGGGCACGACGAGGGCAGCCAGCCAGTCGAGAATGCTCTTGCCGAACCAGCGCTCTTGCAGGTCTCGAGGGGCAATCTTGTCAAAGTGGAAGTCATCGCGGAATTCCTCCTCAAGCCAGCGCACCGGGTTCCCACCGACGTCTTCCAGCGTGCGCTTGGCCAGCCTCTTGCGGCCATGCACGTCTCGCTTCCGGGTGGCAGAACCAGCGACGATGTTTTTCCAGTAGTCATCCTGGTTACTGTAATCGATACGCATCTGCGTGTTGCCCATGTCACGTGGCACGCGATGGAAGTCGTAGTCAAACGTCAGTTCGTACACAACGGGTTCGAGACTGGCGAGGTGCGAGAGATGACGGGGCAGGAGCTTCACATGGTCGCTGGTACTTCCTGGGGCCGGTGTCATGCTCTTTGCGACTGCATACTTGCCTGGCCCACAGCCCTTGGGCATCTGGAGAATGGTGCCCGGGACACCATGACCGAGGCCAATCTTGTGGCAATTGCTGTTCGACGTGTGGTCGTTACAGACCATACGCACCGTGTGCTCGCCTTCGGAGATGGAGTCGTTGCAGTCAAAGACATCCCAATTGGAGCCGTCGCGTTTGTCGAGCGAGATCTGGAGCGCCTCGGGCGAGACGAGTACGACGAACTGAAAGGCCGCCTCATTGGGGTTGTCGTCGCCGTCGTCGGACGTCTTGTCTGTCTTGAAGATGAAGTCGGTGTCAGAGCCGTCCTCAGGCGGGTGCTCAAACAGGTTCTTGAGGTCGACTGGCAGAAAGAGAGGATCGCCATCCGACTCGCAGCAAAAGGTGCGCACACGGTCGATGTGAGCGCCGCAAGTGTCGCTGCCGCCAAAGTACGAGTCGGTGATCTGGACCGTCTTCATGTCCGGACAGTGGCCGTCGAAGCAATTGCCGGGTTTTCCATACCACGCGCAGTTCTTCCACTTGGAAACCTCCTTCTCTGGGCAGCAGTAAAGCTTCTTGGTGTCAATGTCCAGCTCCTCAAGAACCTCGAGCAACACGAGCCCCGTAAGCGCCGCCAGCGGGTACACTCGACCGACAATGCGCAAGATGACCTTGGCCACATCGTCGAGGATGTCGAGGACGGTGCCGGAGAAGGTCAGGGGAAGTTCACCACTGTGGCACTTTTCACCCACGCCGCGCCACTTGCACACATTCTTCTCTCCTAGCGAGCTCTTGCAGCAATGCGCCAGCTGGCCATCCGAGCAGTCGTAGCCGCCGCCGTACTTGCTCATGTGCGTCATGACTTCGTCGTCCTTGCAGTAGCCGTTGCACCATATCGCCCCGCCTCCACGCCATGCGCACGACTTGGGGTCAGGCGCT